CAGACAACCCCGTAACAATATGCGTTTTGTACTGCTGTTACACAGCACAAAACGCATAAAAAATGTTGCAGTAGTTGAGCACTAGGTGTCTCTCAGATCTTAAACTTACTTCCTTACTAATTATGTTTTGTTTTCACATTTCTATTCTTAACAGAAAATCGTAATTCGCAATGATATGCCGTGCGGGACGACAGTGGGTCCAATTCTGGCCAGTCGTTTGGGCATGCAGACAGTAGACGTTGGTTGTGCACAGCTAGCGATGCATTCCATTCGCGAGATGATCGGCACAACAAGCATTTTTCAGGCAATCACACTTTTCTCGGTAAGTAGTTAAAAAAAAAAAAAACTTAAATTTATGGTGATGTAAGGATAAGGGATTTCCGCCACAAAAATTTATTGAAAGCTCCGCCATATTTGTGTGTCATACTTAAACCACCCCGAGCAGCGGGTAATGTTTGTTTTGTGCTGTCATCTGTACTGCCATTTACAAGGAAATCTTCTAGCCAGAGATATTCATTGTTTGCTTTTTTAAAATTTCTGAAACATTCAGCTATTGGTATGGTGACCAATAGCTGACTGTAAGATGACCCTCACAAGAGGAAGCTGTTGACAGCCCAGCCAGCGAGTGGTTGCCGTAGGCACATGTTACCGCTCTCTTCCGAAGCGCCTTCGTCTCCCATACATGAGGAGTATTGCACCTCGGCCTGGCTTTGAATTATGCTTTCGCCTGTTTTTTCATGCACGTTGACGGAGCCGGTGTGTAGGTAGAACGAAGTTGAATTGTTAAGAAATAACTGAATTTTCCAGGCTTTCTATCAATATGTGCCTCATGTCTTGGCGTCAGTCTCGTGAAGGATTCGATGCTGTGACAAAATTCAAGCCTACCTTCCGGTGATACTTCCAGCTATTCTAGTCCATTCCGATACTCCAACGCCTTTCCGCGTATTGAAACTATTTGGATTTGTATTGCATTTCTTTCAATAAAATTTGTTAATCTTACAAAGATGAAACAGTAAAAACACTATGCAGGAGTGAAGAACAACTGAAACACTTATTACAGAACTGCGAAGCGCTTATTACGAAGCAATCTATGATAAAATGCTCGCGAGAATATCCAGACACAACAGGCTGGCTTGCGAAGAAAGCGTCTAAGCCTCCGTGTTGTGGGACGTCAACACTACTCCAGCAATCCCTCTCCCCGTGTTAGCCATCATTTCTGAGTGCTTCTCAAAACCTCTGATCGAAACTGGAAGCAACTTGTGGTCAAACTTCCCAGCGGTAAAATGTTTAATTTTCAGTGAAGGAGGCACGCCAGTGACCGCAACACTCTTACACTTTTTTAGGCTCAGCATTCTCCACCTAACTTTAGCAGTTTTCATGCTAAATTTCGAGTCCTTTAGGAGCATTTTGTGGAGAACTGGTAAATTAGACGTATATGACTTAATGGAGCGAAACGTCTTAACTCACTCATACTTAGTTTTTTCACACCAGCTATACTTCTGCATCCATCAATAAATAGTTCGCTCCACGCCTACTCTCCTCAAGTTCTTAACTTTCCTTGTACGTTACAATCAGATTAGCCCAAAAAATACAGGCAGCCAAAACACACCAACTGCCCCTTCCCTTGATATACCGCTAGTGACGAAATCACCTCCACGTTCGCTCACGATCGAACACATTGACCAAAAGTGCAAGCCCAGTGCACTGGAGGGTGCAGTGATTCTTTACTCTTCACTCGAAAACATCTTCATGCTCACATACATACTGGAAGATATCACGTGGTGTTTCCAGCTTCTCGGCATCAGTATCCGGAATTTCGAAACCGAATTCATCCTCAAGCGACATGACAATCTCAACGTGATCCAGCGAATCGAAACCCATATCGTTCACAAAATGGCTGTCGAGGGTGAGCGCCTCTTTTTTATCCTCCGGAAACCGGTCCCATGCTCTGATCGCTTTCATAACACGCTGCTCAACCTGCAAAAAATAGATAACTGCGCAACGAAGTCATATACTGTAATATTTGAAGCATGAAATTTTTAGCAAAAAATGAAGAAATCTTGGTTTTGTCATAAACCCTCCCCCAGATAAGCTGGCATTCCATCGCAGCACGCTTTACTTAGGTTGTTTCTGTCTCGATTTCACCAGTGCTGCAAGCTGCTTGTCTGTAGTCCTAATGAAAAGTACTGAAACCCCCAAAAAGTCATAACCCTTCCTATTGCTTCTATGCCTCCTAAGTCCACATATCAATGCTCCCATTCACGAACTTCCAGAGCGCCATCATCAACTTAGAAGTGCCTGCAAGAATACCAAGACAACTCAGGCCTTTTAGTGCAGCTACCGTTCAGGGGTGCATTTTAATGGTTTAAATGTCTGTTATATTAAAATTTAAGAAAAAGCATCAAACTGTTCCCGTGTTAGTGATGTTACTAGGATGCTCGTACACACTGAGCGCTGCTATGCCAGGCCCTTCGATCCCGGGCTGCGTGCGGTCAGTCAGTACCCAACGCCCATTCTATGTATGTGGGCCATCTTTTCGGAGATTGTCCGAATGGTCGCTTACTTCCCCATGAATACCACTCAATATCGAGAACGCAGCCAATACGTCCTGCCAATCGTATTGCTCGCCGTTTTACTTCCTCGCTGTACTTTTAAGAATATTTTCCAGAAAAAAAAAAGCTTATTTCTTCAAAGATGAATAATTTCCAAAAAAATGCTTACTTCTTCGAAAGTCAGCTGTTTTGGTGGAGTAAAAGGACCGATCTCCTGCACAGTGCCCGTCGAAAGACACGGATTACACACCCTGAAGTTCCTCGAACTTTCGAAATATAAAGGCGTCACGATGAGTTTCGGCCTGAACACCGGCTGCATCTGTCGTGAGAAGCATGCCACAGCAGTAGCAGACCGTGCAAAAGTCTTATTAAAAACAGCTTTCATCGACATCCCACTGAAGCAAACTACTATACTTGAACAGGCACTCAATAATGCAAGCCCTATAAATAGCCAGGCACGCCAACCGGAACAAAACAGCATGCATTTTTTTGCATAATCCTCTCATATGAGGACAAATTTGCATAGATGCACAAGATTGCAGCTATAGGCCGAAATCCAATGAAACTTATCAGTCAACGAAAACTCAGGAACTAGAGTCCTCAAAATCTCAAATTTGGTTTAGTCATAGAGACTGAAACACATACATACACACATACATACATACATACATACATACATACATACATACATACATATATACATACATACATACACATACATACATACATACATAGATACATACATACATAGATATATACATACATACATACATACATACATACATACATACATACATACATACATACATACATACATACATACACATACACATACACACACACACACATACACATACGCACGTACATGTGACCCTATAATTTACACCATTTCCCTCCTCCCACTAATTCCTAATACTTCGACCAACTTCCCCCCTCTTACTAACTTCTAACAATTCCGCCAAATTCTAAATGTTTTTATATTATTTACCTTCCCACTCACTAACTTGCCCTCCTTTTCCCTCCATTAGTTTTCCCTATATAAACTCCTTCCTAAATCCAGACCCTCAGTTTTTGTGGAAATCGTCAAGTTCAACAACGCCACTCGGCCGTCACGTCCAACGCTTCTAGCGTCTCGTCTCCCCACCGCCAGCGTTCTTCTGTTGCACAGCTTATGCGGTGTCCCGACTCATCGTTTTACTTGTCGTCCCGTTCGTCATTTGGCGCGTCATCTTATTTGTCGTTTTCTCTGGAGCGAGGCGCTTACTGGAAGAATAAACTGCTGGTGTTACTCCCCTGTCTTTCGCTGCTGTAGTCAAGGACCACGTACGGGCCCAACACACATTCGTTCATACATACATGCATACATATACACACACACCACAATTACTCACACGATGTATCATCAACATTTACCTACCCATTTGCATAAATGCGAAAAAAAATCATTAGCCAGCGCACCGACTGCCAGTGCGAAGATGCGTTTTTTGCACAGTTCCCCTGCAGGATTTTGTTGCTAACAGCACTGTTTTCCCCGGCAAATGCTTCTAACTCAAAGAATTGGGACTGGCCGCAATGAATGTCAGGAATTATTACAGACTCCCAGTCCTCGCTCAAAGAATTCAACACTCTAAGTACTCTGGTTGCAGAGTTACGTCAAGTTCCACGTGTTCGCACGCGAGGAGAAACGTGAATGCTGGTTTTGTGTGCGCTTGTTCAGACACGGTTCTGAGCCATGCTTAGAAAATTTCAGCACCCCGGCTACTCTAGGTGCGGAGTTGCGTCAAATTTCACGTGTGCGTAGATAAGACGTGTGTGAAACATGGAAGGGATGTGGAAGTCGTCACATCCACATGTCAACGCCGCCCTCAGTTATGCTCAGAAAGCTCCAGCCATCTACCTGCTTCAATTCTGAAGCTAAAAAATTGCCTGCGTGAAATTTTCACGTGTCCGCACGTGAGATGTAGAGGGGCTGGAAAGCTCAATTTACTTTCAAGGGCAAGTAACGCTCCAAAATTACAGCTCGAAGCTCTTGACCAACATAGATCTAGAGTTGGTGTGATGCCAGTTTAAATGTTAACATGTATAATCCTTCACGCACCACTGGGTCTCACGTACGCGTAGACCCAGTGGTGCGTGAAGGATTATACATAGGCTTACGTGGATTAAATATGGATTATGGATTATACATGGATTATGTGAATACATGGATGTATACATGGGCAAAGAATCTCAAAATCGTTTCTCCGTCAAAAAGCTTTCATGTGTCCGTACGTGAGAAAAATGGGGACACAAGCGTCTATTTTGATAGAGGCCCATACATATATATATACAAAAGAATATATATATATATACATATTGCCAGTTTCAGCCCTACAGCTTTTGTAGATCTCGAGATGAAAATTCGATATAGACACACACAGACGACCCCTCGACAATATGCGTTTTTGCATTGTACAGATACAAAAAAACGCATAAAAACGGTAAAAAGTTCGGCTAGGGCTTAATTTAGGAAGTTTTCTGCAATACGTCATGACAGTCATGAAAGTATTGGAAAATGTTGCATTGCTGCTGACAGGGTGTAT